AGGATTTAGATACTTGACTCTTTGGGTAGCAAGTCTGTGTTGGTGACAGAAGTCACGATTGAAACGAGACAGTCCGAGGTAGTGCCGTTTACCGATTTGCGTATCTGAGAAATACGTTCTTCCACACAACCCGCGGACAGGCGTGCCTCTGCATCGTGATCCCAGCATTCTTCAATCGTGACACAAAGTTGTGCTAACCCCTGAATATTGGGGAGGAAACAGACATATTTAAACAACAGAACTCCCACGGTGGGGTTTCATTTAGCCAGGACTAGAAAATAGACTCTTTAAAAGTACAGCAGGACCCCTGTATCTGCAGGGGACCTGTCCCAAACTGCCTCCCGCAGATGCTGAAAAAATACAGACTATAGCAAACACTATTATAATAATGAATGCGATACATAGCATGCAATCTGGCTCCTTCCTATGGCCAGTTCTGCTAATAACATCATGGAAATCTATTTCTCCTGCATTGTGACTGGCTCCCTGTAATGGCCAGTCCAGGTAACCTCACTGTTTTTAAGTTCCCCTTGACAATTTTGTCCAGTCATGTCTGACTCTAGGCGGCGGTGCTCATCTCTGTTTCCAACCCATAGAGCTAGCATTTGTCCGCAGACAATCCTCTGTGGTCATGTGGCCAGCATGACCAGACACGGAACGCCGTGACCTTCTCACCGTCGTGGTACCTATTTATCTACTCATATTTACATGCTTTCGAACCGCTAGGTTGGCAGGAGCTGGGACAAGCGACGGGAGCTCACTCCATCACGTGCATTCGATCTTATGACTGCTGGTCTTCTCGCCTCGCAGCACAGAGGCTTCTGCGGCTTAACCCGGAGCGCCACCACGTCCCTAAATTCACTGTTAAAAATGTATATTTTGGGGATTTTTCTTTTAATATATTTAATATTTTCAGACTGTGGATCAGTGAATCCATGGATATTGATCCCTTTCACAAGGAGATCCTATTGTAATTTGTTTTGTTTTTTAAAATACCCCACAATATTTAATTTATTGTTACAGTAAGCATGGTGACTCTCTATTAGGATTCCTATTTTGAAAAAATAACTAAAATAACGTTGCAACACTGTAAGCTGCTGGTCTATGGCACAGACGGCACTCTTCTCCCATCCTCTTTGTTGCCTCTTCAATTCCCACAAAACAAACACAGAATGAACCAGCACTTGCATCATGCAGTATCCCTCTTCCACTATTGAGTGGAGCTACATTCTGTAACTTAGTTTCCCTTTCATTACTGGAAAGTGGAATTAATTACAAGTAGCTAGCCATTGGTAACTAACTACTTCCAAGCTCTGGGCTCAGCACTAAACCTAACTAAGCGAAGCAACTCTTCTTATCAACACGGTGGCTCCAAATGCCATCAAGCTGCTGCTCAAGCTGGAATAAAATTCAGCATCAATCTCTGGTCATAGATAGAAATGCTAGTATTCTGCCCTCTTGATTTCAGAGAGAAAAACGTAATAACTCTTCTCTGTAAGGGAGCTTCCCGTCACTTCCCTTCTAGTCTTGTGGGGAAAGGGGGCAGCCCAAACAGGTTTGCTATCTCCACGAGATCTACGACTTTCTAGCCCATTTTGCATATCAGTTGCCCCCATTTGGAAGACCAATATCTCAAGTTGATAAGTCAAAATAGTAGCCATCAAAACACAGGCAGAAAATATTCCATAAATGGAAAGAAACCACTCGAAGATACTTTCTTTTAGTTTAGCTGTCTTGCTTTTAGTATTATCCACAGACATTTCTATCCGGGTAGACAGTCACCCTGTGATCTGACACCAGTACATCCACCACCACTCCGATTTGATGGTTGGAGACATATGTGCTGCAATATAAGTTGATAAAATACCCCACGGCTACATAGAATCCATTCCTTGTATATGGTCTAAACTGGCACACAAAGCATAGTAAGCTGTTACGTCCATCTTATGGGCTGACATGTCACGTCGGATGAGATCAGAAACATAAGGTCTCTGAGATATTTAAGGAGTTGTTTTGCCAGAGTCACCCGCTGCCAGTGAGTTTTCATGCCTGAGAAGATATTTGAACCCAGGTCTCTATCTGTGTCACAATCTGTCAAAATCCAGAAATGGCTTGGCATCCAACACAGAGTGTTAGAGAAACATGTTAAAAGCTCCATTGGGGTACACAAATGAATTTGAATCCCATCAATGTTTTGCCTGTAACAGAAACCCACAAAAAAAATAAAATACCCCACGGCTACATAGAATCCATTCCTTGTATATGGTCTAAACTGGCACACAAAGCATAGTAAGCTGTTACATCCATCTTATGGGCTGACATGTCACGTCGGATGAGATCAGAAACATAAGGTCTCTGAGATATTTAAGGAGTTGTTTTGCCAGAGTCACCCACTGCCAGTGAGTTTTCATGCCTGAGAAGATATTTGAACCCAGGTCTCTTGAGTTGTAGTCCAACACTATCTGTGTCACAATCTGTCAAAATTCAGAAATGGCTTGGCATCCAACACAGAGTGTTAGATAAACATGTTAAAAGCTCCATTGGGGTACACAAATGAATTTGAAGGACATCAATGTTTTGCCTGTAACAGAAAAACCCACAAAAAAAAAAATACCAAGCTGTACTAGAACCTGTTAATCTTCTTCTTTTTCTTCCCTCCTCTTCCCCAATGGCTGCTCAAAAGCACTATATGAAAATAAATATATATAATCTGGAGTTTTGTTTACTCCTGAAAACATACCCTTTCCATAAAATTGCATGAGAATATTACTTTGGTACAGTAGAACCTCTGTATCCACGGGTTCAATATCCACAGTTTCACATATTTCTGATTTGTCACAGTCCTATATTCCAAACACAAAGGTGCCACCTTATGGCCTTTATTCTGCTCCCTTGTACGTTGTATATAAGGGTTTCCTCATATCCATGGTTTCAGGCACCCATGGTAGATCATGGAACTGATTCCTAGCAGATACCGCAATTGACTTGGAGGGGCCATGCAGTTTTGCTGCATTGCATTTCTGATACTAGTTGCTCAGTCAGGAATTCTAAAAGTACAGTATTAATGGAAAAGGGACGTACAGGATGTTTAAGCCAGTGGTCCTTAAACGAAGGACGCATCTTCTTGTGAACAACCACCTCCTGTAGGTCTTCAAGGGATGGATGTTGACCAATCTCTTCTTCAAATGGCAGCGTGTATTCATCTACTGGACCTGAATTTACAGAGGAAGAACAAATGTCAGTACATGGTAAAAACCAACGAAATCGTTTTAATTTAAAACTATTCCATAGGTTTCAGTGACTACCAGTCCTTTTCTGGACTATTTTTGACCTATAAAGCCCTACGTGGCTAGAGGCCAAGCTATCTGAAAGATCGTCTCCTCTCATATGACTTTTCTCAGTTGTGTCTGGGTGGACATACTTGGATTTTTGGGTGAGTGCTCTCCCCAGTCTGTGAAATTCCTTCCCAGTGGAGGCCAGGTTGACCCCTCCTTGCTCCCTTTCCAGCAGCAAAGACCATCAGAAAATAGAAATATAACACACAGAATTGATTAAAAACAGCAGCATCCAAGATTACTAGTGCTCTGTTCTGCCAGCCCACTGGTCAAAGTCCAGAACCAAAGTCAGCTCTTTCCAGCCCCGTGTTCTCCAGATGTACTCATTGATCCGTCACCAGCGGAGCTTAATCTGGCTACCTTTGGTGATGGGAGTTAGAGGTCAACATATCTTATCTAGAGTAGACCTTTGGCCTAGATAGGCAGGGTATAAATCTAATAAAATAAATAAAAATAAATAAATTATCTAGAGGGCACTAGTTTCAGGAGGCTTCATGCAGAAAAATGCGTCTGGCATGTTATTATCCATATGTATTAATGTATTAATATAAATAAAATAAATGATCTAAAAGTAATTTAATTAATTTAACATTCTAAAACATGGATAATTCAGGGCTCCACGCTACTGTACTATGGATTTTCCATTACAGTACAGCAGGGGTTGACTAAAGGGGGCAATTCTATTGGCACATTTGTACCTATATTTCTCTTTAAAACCAGGAATGGTGAGAATATGCCTGAAACGATAGCCACAAAAGAGATCTCAGCACTCACCATCAGCTGCTCTGCATCTGGAGACCAACTCCCACAACACTAGCCCCATTGCATACATGTCTATTCTTAGGAAGGCGTCTCTCTGGAAGTTTATTGCTCCTTCTAAGACCTCAGGAGCCATGTATCTCCTTGTTCCCACCTGAGGCAGAAAGAAGGATCTATCACTGAGACTGAAAGGTATCATCTTCCTCAACCCAATGAAAGAACAAGCTCTTGCAAAATAAAACAAAGAATAAAAAAATGCATCCAGACCAGTGCATTCTAAGTGAGGATTTACCTGTCCATCTTGTGCCCCAAATATTCAACTGGAATGAATTTGTGATCAATTGTCTAGCCCTAAGGCGATCTTCACAGTCCAAGTGGAAGAGAATTTGCAGGGGGAAACCTCACAGCAGAGCGTAAACCCCCCAGTGGCAGCAACAGACAAAACTACTGGAGTGGGTACATATTGTGCAACAGCATCTGAAGACCTACGACTGCTCACCTACGAGACCTGGCTTTCATGTATGTGTATGCAGCGTATTCACTGTGGCATGCCGGGGGCCTGCTTCATTTGTCAAGTTGATTTGGGAGATGTAAATTTACAAGCTAATGCAGGCCAGATACTTTTTGGACTTTTCTTCTTCATCCCAAAACCCATCCCAGGTTTTAAAGCCCTGGGCTGATGAAGAAATCTAAAGAACCTGAAAGTTTGCCCCTTTTTAAAAATAGAGCTATTTTGGTGGCTCAATCAGGTTTTAGAATTGTACTTATACAGCCTAGGCCTTCATCCTCTGTGACTTGTAAATCAGGGCATAGTAAAGGCATCAAGAGGAAGTACAGTGGTGCCTCGCTAGACAGTTACCCTGCATGACAGTTTTTTCGCTAGACATTGGCTTTTTGCGATTGCTATAGCAATTCGCAAAACAGTGATTCCTATGGGGGAATTTTGCTGGACAGTGTTTGGTCCCTGCTTCGCAAACCAATTTTCGATATACAACAATTTTGACAGCTCCCTCTGCGCTTGCAAAACGGGTGTTTTCGGGACCTAAGCTTCGCAACACAGCTATTTAAACAGCTGATCAGCGGTTTGCAAAGCGGCTTTCCTACGGCCGATCTTCACTAGACAACGAAGATTCTTCCCCATTGGAACACATTAAACAGGTTTCAATGCATTCCAATGGGGAAAATGCTTTTCGCTAGACAATGATTTCACTAAACAGCGATTTCAGTGGAACAGATTATCATCGTCTAGCGAGGCACCACTGTATCCATTTTCCTGCATCCTGTCCACAAACAGTAAGGTTTCTTCAAGAAGTTCTAAGATAGTGCAAAATGAGGTCGTATTAAACAACTCTTCAGCTAAGCTGCACGCATTACCTGTCCGTGAGTGTCTCCTGGAGGTTTTCCAGGTTCAAACCGTACAGCCAAGCCAAAATCAGCTAGCACGGCTGTCAGGTCATTCTTCAGCAGTATGTTTTTGCTCTTGAAGTCCCTACATAAAAAAAGAAGGATGGGGGAGGGAAGAGTAGAGGAGTGTTTCACAAAAGCACTGATCCCACTGTCTAAAATAGCCACAATGAAAAAGGTGAAGGATTTATAATGGCTACTACATGCTATCCTGATGCAGCCATTGCCTACAAGACTCTTGGTGCTAACATCAGCATGCCGTGGATTTGCGTCTTAAGAGAAAGAGGTTTTCAGCCAGGGAGGGAGCTGTGAGCAAAACAAAGTCAGCTTGGAGTCCCACTTGTCCAGCTTCCAAAATCCATTAATTGTCTGTGCGATCTTAACGGCACAGCCAAAATGTTCCTAGAAAGCTTGGTTGGGTTTTGGAACGCCAGAGGCTGGCTCGGCTCCCTTGAGAAAGGCTTACATGGGGCGCAGTGTTGTGCCTACCTCCCGTGCAAGTTAAAGTCCTGCTTATTAAGTCATTCCCGGACTTTCCAACATTTTTCAGTATATTGTGGGGGTGGGGGAAGGGGGGGAGGAGGAACAAAGCGATGTGGGTGAATATAATTAAATTACAGACCTTAGGCAGCAGATGGCAAGCTCATGTGTGCTCAGCATTATAATTCTCCTGCCATCAATTCAATTCACTGTGGTAACCCTGCTGGTCAAATCGCAGGACAACTGCAGGGCCGTGCAATATAATTAATGAGGGCAGATACAATTGTTTTTTTGAAATGTCCTGTCAGAAAACGTTAGGGAAAAGAGACACTGCAGCCAAAGGAGAGGGAGAGAGAATGCCCGCCGGGGTGGGGGAGAGTTCAGTGGATTCCCAGGGCATCGGACGCCCCGAGGGAGGGCAGCTTCTCTACAATTCTCTATTCTTCTGAGGAAGCGGCAGTGGTGGCAGGGAGGAAAGAGAGTGGGTTAGGGAGACCAACCAAGGGTATCCCTTCTGCTGAAGACATGTTAAAACTGGGGGGACATATAGCGAGTTAAAAGGGGAGGAGTTGAGGAAACCACAAGGGTCAGATGAGTGTATTTCATAGAAAGTGCAATACAAAAAAGTTAAAATATGAAAATAACAAAAACTATCATCACAGTATACATTAAGAAATATGCTCTGCAGGTGAGCGTCAATCTGTTATTGTCTTCTTCGGGCCTTGCACAGAAAATGGCTGAGGCAATAATTGTAACACGCCAAAAGACATGGTGGTAATGCAGTTTACAAAAACAGAAATAAAAGGGGCTAGAAAAAGAGGCTTACATATCCTATATATATTCTCTAGTATCGTTATTTGGTTATTGCACTTTCTTTAACCCCTCCCCTGCTTTTCTCTATTGTCAAATTATTAAGTTAGGTTCATTCATCTGTATTCTGCCCTTTTGCCTATGTTAAAGCTGAAGGTTAAAGCTGAAATGTCTGAACCTCCTCTAAGAACCAAAAAGTGAATATATATATATATTTATTTATTTTCTCATAAATAAACAAGCAAGTAAATAAAATGTAGATCCTGTTATGTCTTGACTGGCAGATTGCCATATGATCATGCTTCTAGCCAAGAAGCAGGATCACAAAATTAATATATAAAAAACAACATATCTATCTATCTATCTATCTATCTATCTATCTATCTATCTATCTATCTATCTATCTATCTATCTATCTATCTATCTATCTATCTATCCAGCCATCCAGCCATCCAGCCATCCAGCCATCTTAGACATCATCCCTTGAAGGTCTGAAATTGGCACATGCCCCTTAAGCTAAAGTGTGGTCATCCCAATTTTGTGCAATCAGTTTGCACAGATTACTTATAATCATTGTTGAATTTGAACTAGGAAATTGGCTCATCCTTGCTGATGAGAAGACTGGGAATTCTTCACCTCTGAGGACAAAACAGACGAAGAGTTTTATCCATATTATATGAGCACACACATAAATAAATAAATAAATAAATAAATAAATAAATAAATAAATAAATAAATAAATAAATAAATCCATCCATCCATCGAGACAGAGGTGTTTGCTTGTGTGTGTGTACACACACACACACACACACACACACACACACACACACACCCACCTATATGGCTCGAAGCATGATCATATGGCAATCTGCTGATCAAGACATAACAGGAGCTACATTTTATTTACTTGCTTGTTTATTTATTTATGAGAAAATAAATAAATAAAAAATGAATAAATAACGCCAAGGATTCCTAACGTAGTTCACAACCATAAAAATGTAATCCTAATAAAACAGAACAAACAACCATTAGTGATATCAACATGCAGTTAAAATAGTTAATGCCAAAACGAAACACACCCTTGGTGTTCACCAGAAAAGCCCACTACCACAGAGGCATTCAGAATTTTCTTCCAAAATTAAGGAGCTGTCACTGAGAAGTCCCTGTTTTTTTAAAAAAAATTAGCATAACCTCTTTCTTGGAGGCAGAATACAGAGAAATGCTTCCAGCAATGATCGTAAATGTAGGAGGAGCCCCTCCATCAGCTATCCTGGCCTAAGCCATTTAGGCTTTTACAGCTAAAAAGCGGCACTGTGCAGCATTTATTTTATTTTATTTCTATACCACTCCATTAGTGCAAAAGCACTATTCTGGGTGGTTTCACAACAAGGCAAAATATATATTATCTGTTCAGTAGACAGAAGGTTAAAAGCACTAACAACATGTGAAGTATTAACCGGCTTCATGCCAACCTCTGATGCCCCCCCCCCATAAAGAGGCCTGCGGAAGTTTATCTACATTAGTTCTGATCTGACGTGATCTGCACCTCCCAGGCCAACTTGTGCTTGAAATAATTTGGTGCCAATCTGAGCATTTTCAACAATTGCTAAGTGCTAAAGGAAGCCATTTTACTTTTGCCTGTAGGAAAGAATGGGGGCCGGGGTGGACTGTGTTGGAATAAAAAAGAAACAGCATCCTTAGAATTGATTCTGAGAAAAGACTGTAATTAAGTTTACTTGCCTGCAATATACCCCTAATGGCCATTAGAGCGCAGTACAACACAAAAAGCTCCAACACTTTGTCAGGGAAACCTTTTCTGGGTGAACTTCTCTGTCAAGGGACACCACCATATATCTGCCAGGAAAGCCCTGTGTTCTGCTGCTGCAAAATGTAGGATGCATGTGTGTTCCCCGCCACACACATCTCCCTGTCATCTGTAGCACACCACAAAAGACAGCCAACACTCCCTGTAAGCGGTTCTCGGAGAAAGGCTGTCAATGGTACGAAAGCTACCAGCAGATTTGATTTGATGGTTGTTGTGGGTTTTTCGGGCTCTCTGGCCATGTTCTTAAGGTTTTTCTTCCTAATGTTTCACCAGCCTCCGTGGCCGGCATCTTCAGAGGACAGGAGTCAGAACTCTGTCTGTGCTCTGGTGCAGTTTGTTGGATAGCTGAGTATTCATAGCTGTGGGATCAGCTTTTGTCCTCTCCAGGAGATCGGGTGATTATGGTGATCAGTGTGTTTTTGTTGTGGGTGTATTGTTGTGATAAGGGGGAGAGATGATCTGTCACTGTGATTGATGGGTGTTGTTAGCTGGTCTTTTGTGTGCAGTGATCACTGGTCCTTGTGGCTGGGGAGACTTTGTTGACCTTTTGCACATTTGATTTACATCAAACTGATTTAAATCATGAATTAAATTGTTAAAAATCTATTTTTTTATTTAAATCATCAAAACAGTCTGATTTCCCCCCACAAAATATTGTATCATGGTTTAAATTGTGATTTAAACCAGATCCACCCGGCTGCCTTCTATAAAGCTATTGGGCTGTTACGATGGCAGGTGAGAGCAATTTTCCCATGCTTTGGGAGCTGACTGTTTTCCTGCTTCCATGGATCTTTTAAAGCAGTACTTTCTGCTTTTGTACAAGATTGTGGGGCTATGTTGGAAACTTTTCCTCTCAGCTAATGCAGAACTCGATTGCAATTTTTAAAAGGAAGGAAGGAAGTTTGTTCCTTTGTTCCAATTTATCTAGTAACACAGTACTGCTCTGGGCAGTTAATACCAATTAAGAGAATAGAAATAATAACCCACCCACAAAGTAAACCCACAATTCATAAAGACCACCAACTAAAAAAACCTTCTAAGGCAATGGCAAACAAACTGAAATGCATCCACAAGAGTAATCAAAGGGGGAGGGGGTTACCAAAGCCCTCTTTGAAAAGCTCAGCTTTCACTCATTTCCTGAAGGTCAGCAGAGAGGGACCCGGGCATACAACAATGAGCAATGTGTTCCATAGCATTGTAGCCACCACCGAGATAAGCCAGTTCTTGGCGTTAGTTTTCCGGGCCTCTCTAGGGATAACCACTCACCACTACGAAGCCTAGATAGATCAGATGACCCAGGTAGATGATCTTAAGGAGAGACACTCCAACATGTAGCGAGGCCCAAAACAGTAAAGGGCTTTATAATATATATGGGGCAGGTCATGAGAAGAGAAGACTCCCTGGAAAAGACCCTGATGTTGGGAAAGTGTGAAAGCAAGAGGAGAAGGAGACGACAGAGGATGAGATGGTTGGACAGTGTCATGGAAGCGACCAACATGAATTTGACCCAACTCCAGGAGGCAGTGGAAGACAGGAGGGCCTGGCGCGCTCTGGTCCATGGAGTCACGAAGAGTCGGACACGACTTAACGACTAAACAACAACAACAAATATGGAGAAGGGGTGCCCGTACACTGTTCTCTTGCCACGGAACAGTAGAGGTGGAGGGGCACTGTAAGCTACTTTGGCTGATCACTACTTAATGCAGGAGATCCACAACAAATGCATCTCCAGAGATGCCAGCATCTGGATGAAGATTTCTAATAAAGGAAACCTAGCACATATTGCCCATGTCTGCTAACCACTAGCCTTTATAATTAAAATTGTAAACCGCCCGGAGAGTGCTTGTAGCGCTATGGGGCGGTATATAAGTCCAATAAATAAAAATAAATAAATTATTAACATGTTTCTCTGGTCAAAAATCTACTACCCCATAGTTTTAACTCCTTAGATCTAGTCCTTCCTGTGGGACATCTCAAAGCAATTTTTTTTGTCCCTTTTTAAAGGGATGGTCCCTTCAGGTATTTGAAGAGGACCAATATGAGCCTTGAGATTTTTCTCCTCTTCAGGCTAAACTTATACCAGAAATCTCTGCCCTTAACACTGTGAACCTCTAAGCACAGGTGGAAGACTTCCAAAAAGATATGCTTATACCTTCGACCACCCTCAGTCCTCAGTCTATGAAACACTTAGATCTAAGCACAGGTGGAAGACTTCCAAAAAGATATGCTTACACCTTCGACCATCCTCAGTCTATGAAACACTTAGGTATTTCTCTGATCTGAAAGGAACGTGATGAACATTCATTTCCTTGTTCAGCAAGGGAGTCAAGATGAATTTTCAAAGTTCATCTGACTCAGAATTTAGGAACATGGCTAAACTAGCTAGGGATGGCCAGCTGTTTGGTGGAAGACTTCCAAAAAGATATGCTTACACCTTCGACCATCCTCAGTCTATGAAACACTTAGGTATTTCTCTGATCTGAAAGGAACGTGATGAACATTCATTTCCTTGTTCAGCAAGGGAGTCAAGATGAATTTTCAAAGTTCATCTGACTCAGAATTTAGGAACATGGCTAAACTAGCTAGGGATGGCCAGCTGTTTGGGGATTTTGGGGGCCCTGATCCAAAAAACCAATGTTTCCAAGTTCTAATCTAAGAAACTTCTAGATTAGAAGTTTCTTTAAGAGGCACACAGTTTCCAAGTTCTAATCTAAGAAACTTCTAGCCAGGAGTCTTTAAGAGGCACACAAGCAAAGCGTGAAGAGTGAGCAGCTCCTCCTATTCTGTTTTGTCCCCTTGCACGTGGCGAAAGGAAAACAACAGCATATGCTGTACCACTAAACTAAGATATCCCTTTAACCCAGAATTGCTCCGATACTCTAAAAACAAATGCACATTCCATGTGGGCATGAGCTGCACCTGCTTTCAAATAAAAGGAGTCATACCTGTGTGCGATAGCAGGTTTGTGACCTTCTCCTTTGCACCACGGGACATCTTCGTGAAGGTAAGAAAGTCCATGAGCCATTGTTTCTGCCACATGACAGAGTTCATTCCAACTGATAATGTTCCCTTTCAGGTAATCAGTCAGTGAGCCCTGGAAGGAACACAATACGGATGCATCAGATTTCATTGGGAGACTCTTGCAACTAGTTCACTACAAAGCACAACACATTCGCAAAGGATGCAATTCAGACAGAACTATAGATGTTACCCCTACTCTCCAGCAGTGCACTTCTCAACCTAGAAGGAAGGTCCATCAAACACACTGAGAACTGATTCAGCATCCCATACCAACAAGATTCCAAGGAATTCTAATTTCTACTGAATAGCTGAACACATGTTCCAAGGAATTCTAATTTCTACTGAATAGTTGAACACATGTTTAGATAGTTGTTGTCGGTTTTCTGGGCTCTTTGGCCGTGTTCTGAAGGTTGTTCTTCCTAACGTTTCGCCAGTCTCTGTGGCCGGCATCTTCAGAGGAAAGGAGTAACACTCTGTGCTCTGGTGCAGTTTGTTTGGGAGTTGAGTATTTATGGTTGTGGGATCAGCTTTTGTCCTTTTCAGGAGATGGATGATTATGGTGATCAGTGTTTTTTTTTTCCATAAGTGAGAGAAGAAACCCCAGGTTCTCTGAGGTAAAAATTGGCGGGAAAGTGTGGGACGACAGGAGGAGAGGGAACCCACCCAGTAGAGATTACCCCAGTAGTCTCCAAGCTACTGGAAGCCATTTTAAAGGCAAGCCCTCATCCCTAGAACTGAGTCACCTGAAACAAAATAACTCTGAAGGAAAGGTTGGCAAGGCCCCATATTTTGAACCCAAAGCGAGTAAGCTAGATGTTTAGATACTTTCCCAGTTAGCATAACTTTGACTTTAAAACAAATCCTCACATTTGAACCAATGCCAGATTCTGAACTGAGCTGGCTCCATTTGAACCCATTTGCATGATGTCTGGATTGAGGCCAATGGCCAAGTTTAATTCCAGGGGTCAAAGAAAGTGAATTTATAAATCAATTCAAATCCACTGCATAGAACAAAATCAGAAAGTGCCTACTAGTGATTTTTTTTTTAAAGCAAACTTTACAAAGCCATTTTGTAAGCAGACACCACAAGTTATTTCTCTACAATCTGACAAGTTTACTTTTTCTCTTTAGGTCTACCACATCTCAAAATTGCACATACACCAGTTCAAAAAAAAGTTATAGCTGTTTTGATTTCCCAATGCAAGACAATGCATCAGCTATGCAGATTTACAGATAGATTTAGATACAGGTCACAAATAAATTGGATGGAACACAGATGACTCTAGGTTGGATCAGGATGTATGCCAAAACTATAAACTGCCCTCCATACTAAACTGGGGCCCCAGTGCACAATCCTATTTAAAAGTGTTTACCTTTGACTGAACAATTTTGCTACACTAGCACAATAACATACTTAAATCAAAATACCTTCAAAAGTAAGTCTGCCCTAACTGTGGTTGCTGTGGCGCCAGGAGCATCTACCTTCACCAATTAATCAACTACAGTTGATTCCTCCACCAGTTAAATATTTTGCCCCTAATGAGAATGTTGCAATTTGGGAGAAATCTAATAGTTAGTCTTGTCTTGTGTGGATCCAGTGAATGAATTGGATTTATTGAATGTAACAAATAGATTTCACTCTTTGTAAACAACCCCAGATGACTAATTCCTACAAATTCCTATGGAATTTAAATAGGAATGCAGGGGTCAGATTAGGTTACACCACCATGGATCGTGGGAGTAAAGAGAGAAAGACAGGGCTGGACAGGCAGGCAAAATAGTAGATATAGATAGATATAAAATAAACAGAAGTAGTCCCACAATGCAAGTGAGAATTAAATACGATCTTGGGTCTGGAAAACAGAAAGGGTCATAATCGCCTTTGTTTACAATTATTTGCAAAGAATTTCTCAGATATACTGACACAAAGCTGACTGGGTCCTGATTATTTATTGTTACTTTGAAATAGTAGAAATTGAATGAATGAATGAATGAATGAATGGAATTCAATTCAATTAAAGAATTAATTAATTAATTAATTACATTTAATGAATGAGCAAATGAAGAATTTGGCACAATCCTCGTTATCCTTTCCCTGTGTCCTCTCTCTCTCTCTTCATATAGGGTGGAGATCTTAGCAAGAGAGGAGGACGGTGAGGGAAAAGTATGTGCCTGAGCTGTTTTCCGCCTCCCTTTGCTTCAGGTATTTCTGCAGCTATTAAGACAACAATGTGCTGACACATCTGTTACCTTGTCATGGAAAGCTGTGATCAGCCACAGCTCTGTTTCCAGGTTTGTTCCTCGTTTCTCTGCTGCAATAAACTGCAAAAGGTTTTCGTGCTTCATGCCTGGGGTGTTGAAAATCTCCCTCTCACTCTGCCAGGACTGTTTATCCTACAAGGAAAGGAGAAAGAGACGCGTTTGGAAAAATAAACAACCCCATATTCCTAGGCATTCAACGTGGTCCAGCTGCAGTAGGAAACTCCTTGCCACAGGATGTGGTGATGGCATCTGGCCTAGAGGCCTTCAGATTCCTGGAGGAAAAGTCCGTCTCAGGTGGTGGGGATGTATAACCTCTGGGCTTAAAAGGAAGGGACCTCCAAATGTCAGATGCAGAGGGATATCAGGATATCAGGAGACAGGTATCCTGTTGTCTTGTGTGCTCCCAGAGTCATCCGGTGGGGCCACGGTGAGATCCAGGAAGCTGGACTCGATGGGCCCTTGGCCTGATCCAGGAGGGCTCTTCTGATGTTCTTATGAAATGCCCTGCCTCCTTTCCCCCCACCCCCACCCCAAAAATTTTAGGACTTAAAAGTATGGCAAGCTGTTGAGAATTCTCTGTTACTGGTCCTTGAGTTCTTGCTCAATGACAGAACGGTGGGTCTGGTTTTCCCCTGTATTATTAGACAGATGTCTCTCGCTTTCGTGAAGTCTGAAAGAGCAAAGCATGATCCACCTCAGCTTGGAGTTAATTCTATTGATTTCTTTCATTGTGTCTGCAGCTCCTAAAATGAAGTCTTTGTTCCTTCAGAAGGGCGAGGCCTCTTCAGATGGTTCACCTGCAGAGAAACTTGAGAGGGCCATTTCACTGAATTGATCCAGAGGAAAGACCCATTCTCTCCAACAGTTTTTCAGGGCTAAGATTCACTGCTGTTCTTCTCTTAAGAATCACTGCTAGAATTTTGTTTCCGTTTTAACGCTTTTCATGGCAACGGTATGAGCAGCTATTGCAACCTATGGTGGTGAGGGGGATGAAAGATCTGAGAAATTATCTCTGAAAACTGCAGTGCCAGAGAGATTTCTGTTCAGCATTAAAAGTCGCTTTGTTGTGGAAAGCAACACATTTTACATGAATAGGGCCCTGGGTCCAGCCCCTGGGGTCTCCACTGCAAACGGGGAAGAGAGGAGAGGAAAAATGTAGCCCATGGGTGGCATGGGAACCTTATGGCACCCTCAGACTGGCCACACAGCCCTATTTTTTTTTTTTTTTTTACAAATGCAAAAAAAAGATTGCTTATCCTCTGTAGCACATATAGGGAAAACTTATGTTGTTTAAAATAATCCGAGAGGTGTGGGTTGGCCTCATGAAGTACAGAAGGGTATAGTCCCTGGAAGGCTCCAGATTCACACAATTCAAAGGGCGCAGGATGAGAAAGATTTAGCAAGTACGGCTGCAATCCAATGATTAAGCAAATATGGCTATGCACATTTAAGGTAAAGGTTCCCCTTGACCTTTAGTCCAGTCGTGTCCGACTCTAGGGCGCGGTGCTCATCCCCGTCTCCAAGCCGTAGAGCCAGTGTTTGAAGACAATTTTCCGTGGTCACGTGGCCAGCACGACTAGACACGGAACACCGTGACCTTCCCACCAAGGTGGTACCTATTTATCTACTCGCATTTGCATGCTTTCGAACTGCTAAATTGGCAGAAGCTGGGAAAAGCGATGGGAGCTCACTCCGTCATGTGGATCTGATCTTACGGCAGCTGGTCTTCCGACCTTGCAGCCCAGAGGCTTCTGCGGTTTAACCCACAGTGCCACCATGTCCCACTATGCACATTTACCTCAGAGTAAGGGTTACTAAACAGATAACTAAAGGTTACTTATCAACAGATATTATATAAGATTAGATCGTAAAGCACGGCTAGTGTTTAACAGAATTTGTTTGTTTATTGAAAATATTTTTTATCCTGCCTTTCTTCCTAAAAAGAGCCCAAGAAGTAAACAAAAGAACAAGGACTGCACAGACGATAACTAGATTTAAAACTTTTGAGTATAATCTTAACAGTTACAGCTTTCTAATCTGGATTAGGAGAGAATATCCCACTAGTTAGTCAGAGCTGGCCTGGAACAGACGATATGGGAATTGTCTTCTTTAAATCCATGATGGCAAACAAATTGCTAAGGATTAAAGCAAAAGGCATAGTGTCTAAAGAGTTCTCAGGGTATGGTGTAGAGAGAGACACAGCTGTGTTTTGCGGGGATCACCGGTCATTGCCTTTTCTGTGGTTGTGCTGGGCAATACGATGAATCTGCAACAGGGGATCCTTCGAATTTTCATCAAGCTCAGGATCCCAGGGACCTCTGGCAAAAGCCACAGGGATTAAAAAGTGATCAAACCAGTACAAATTTAAAAAAATATATATCTAGACCAGCATAGCTGTTTTCTAGGAACCAGATAGAAAACTCACCACTTTGTGCTCACAACAGCCCTATGAGGTAGACCATGCTGAAGCCACTAAACAAATAGACTCCAGAGTTGATAAATTTACTTTTCAGCAGGATGAATATAAGGCTGTGCTGAAGCTATCCTTAACTGAGTTCCAGATTTCCTAAAGTTACTTTTAGGAAGGGTGACTATAACACCCATCCCTGAAGCTACCCAGAGCATCATCCTACCACTGATCATTTAGATTTTTTTAAAAAAATCTGCAGTAAGCCAAACAGTGTGTTGACTGTGTCTTGATTTTTGCCAGAGTGAGCTAATGCGCACCAGCAGTCCTACTGACTCTAAAATAGTTCCCCCAATCAAAAATATGGCCCTTGTTGTAAAAGTAAGTTGTTAATGAGAAGTTTCAAATGTCTTTGGATGCCCATCTCCAAAGTGCAGCTAGGAAAAACTACAGGATAGCTCAGTGGCTGTGGCTCCTTGACTGGATTGTGGAGCCAGAAGCTGGGAGTTCAATTCCTGACTGTGGCTCCTTGACTGGATCCAATCATCCAAAGGGTCCCTTCCAGATCTACAGTTCTAAGAGGATGATGATGAAAAAGAAGCAGCAGCAATTATTTATGAAAAACAACCCCAGTCCCACACTTACCTGGATGGGGAAGATCTTCACTGCTACATAGTCATTCATTAACTGAGCCTTCCAGACACACCCAAAGCGCCCCCTAGCCTTGATCTCAAGCAACTGCAATGGCTTAAGTCCAACCAGAGGAGAAGGGGGTGGTGGCCCCGGATCCTAAGAACAAGATGAGAGCGATGACATTATTAACTGGAATTTAAGGTCTTCTTTTTTTCTTTCAGGGGTGGCTGGTTGGCCAACAGGCAGAGTGTGGCTTGGAACAGTGGTTGCCCAGATTGTCCCTAAGCTAGCTTGACTGCAATGCTTGAGTTTCTCTTGGGACATTGTTGACCTTGTACCTGCCACTCCGCAGACTACCTTAGAGGAGTACCCACCGGACAGTTTCTTATTTCTCACGGAAAAACACATGTCACATCTTACATCCTAGAGGATCAAAATTAGCAGGAAACAAAGCTGTCTGCTGTCCATAATGATATCAGCATTAATGAGCTAAGCTCTGCTCCTCGTCCCTGAAAGCTTGGTTAGGGATGACTCCCCACTCTTCGTTGGCTCTCTTGAAGTGGGGCCACAGCCGTTTTACTTAAGACCAGCCTTGAATTTTACTGTTCAGCATGAGGAACAATTCCACACATCACAAAGAAGCAAAACAGATTGTTTTATCCATGGTGAAGCTATGGCGAATCATTTTTTTTTCTAATTGTGCTTATACAGTTGTTGTTGTTTAGTTGTTAAGCCATGTCCGACTCTTCATGACCCCATGGACCAAAGCACATCAGGCCCTCCTGTCTTCCACAGCCTCCCAGAGTTTAGTCAAAGCTTACAGAGTACATACTTCAAATAAGTCATTAATACATACAGACATTACTCTTTTTTTTTTTAGCTGTATGCCTGGTGGGGAGAGAGAAGGGCCAGAATCCTATGGTTTTTAAAGTAAGATTTGTGTAACTTGCTGTAGCTATTTGCAGCTAATTGGTGAGTTCCTGGAGCATGTCTTGGTTGTGTGTCTGGTTTATAAAGTGGTGCCTCGCATAACGAGTGCACCGTACAATGATGAATTCGCATAGCGATCCCTTTTTTGGGGACGCATTAAACTAAGTTTAATGCGTTCCAATGGCATTTTCCGTTCCGTTTAGCGATGTTTACCCATAGCGACGGTTAATCTGGAACGGATTAACCTCACTATGCGGGGCACCACTGTAATCAAGATACACCCTAGCACCTCATTAATCAGTTGCAATAAGTCATGGGAAGTTCCACAAACCTTACACATACATCAATTGGATTCCTACCACAGTACAAGAAGTATCCGGTCTCTGAAGTATTGCTACCACATGATTTAGCCATGATCATAATCTTTTCATATATTGTTGGCTGTTCAAACTGCATTTGAAAAGGAAGATACACTGGCCTCTGTTCAGGTCAATAGCCACACTATTATTGTATCCACCCAACGCCAATGCTATCTTACAAGCGGGTGGTCGTGGACATTATGTCTCTTAAAATCTCTCCAGTATTTAAAGAGGAGAACAATGAATTTTTCCTGAACTACAGTGAGCTTGGCCTTTTAGCACTTATTATTCAAACCAAATGCATTGCTTTGAGAAGTAGAATCAGGCTAATGCATTTCTCTAAAAACAACAAAGTTAAGTTACATTTTTCCTAGCAATTACAGAAAAGTAAAGTAAAAAGTCTTGTTCAATGGATCTGGGGGTTCTGATTTTTTTGGTTTGTTTGTTTCTAATTGGCCCTGCTACTGGCCTTCCCTCGCCTTCCCTCTCCCCACAATGCTGAAAAATGCTGAAAGCCATTTCAGAACCACAGATGAAAAGAGATGGTGGATATCTGGTCTCCCCTACCTGGCCCCCAGCACCTGATATAGTGCATCTGCACATAGTGGTTCCATTTAGCTGTAATGGAATTCTCCTCAAATGAACCTCTCTTCTCCTTTCTTTAAAAAGCTCCTTCTTAGACCTGGCCAGAACATGCAGAAGAATGACGGAGGCTGTGCCACTTCTGGTAGCAGGAACAGGGCACTATTTTTTAATGCACTCCCATGTTTAAAGAATTGCATGCATTAAACTATTAATGCACAGAGAAAAGTTCCAACCCAGCCCATACCATGCAGTGTTACTTTTTCTTTTTTGCGGCAGTATGAAGTTGTTCAATGGTCTTAGGACTGCACCAATAATCTCACCCTATCCTCATTTGGAACAGCCACATAGCCAATTTTTGACATCTGCAGCCTGAGGTCTGCTAAAACGACGTCAACTGAGAGACCTTCGTCAAGCAACCTACTTCCCACCAATGCCTGTTTTGGTGTTTTAATCCGCGGCAAATATCCTTACACATACCTCACTGATGTCAACGTGTCCGTATGGTGGCTTGCGGTGACGATACATCCAGAAGGCCAGGAGGATGGCGATGGAGAGAGCAATGATGGGAAGCAGGGAGTAAACCATAATGTTGAGCAGTGAGGGAGTTGGTGGGGGTGGCTCATACACTACTGGGGAAGGGGAAAACAAGAGGACAGTAACATTATTAAGAATTTATAAGACCATAAAGAATGGATGATCGACTTCAGAGTAAATAAATATTTATTTCAGTTTTTTTCTTTGACATCTGATGTTGCTAACTGTTGCCTTCTGTACCTAACATCTAGAAAACAGTCAAGACAGAATGCTCCAGTATGTCACTCACTCACACTCAATCAGACAGACAGACATTATCTATCCCTCCCTCCCTCCCTCCCTCCCTCCCTTCCTTCCTTCCTTCCTTCCATCTATCCATCATCTCCTTCCTTCCTTCCTTCCTTCCATCCATCCATCCATCATCTCCTTCCTTCCTTCCTTCCTTCCATCCATCATCTCCTTCCTTCCTTCCTTCCTTCCTTCCTTCCTTCCATCCTTCCATCTATCCATCATTTCCTTCCTTCCTTCCTTCCTTCCTTCCTTCCTTCCTTCCATCATTCCATCATCTCCTTCCTTCCTTCCTTCCTTCCATCTATCCATCATCTCCTTCCTTCCTTCCTTCCTTCCATCTATCCATCATCTCCTTCCTTCCTTCCTTCCTTCCATCTATCCATCATCTCCTTCCTTCCTTCCTTCCTTCCATCTATCCATCATCTCCTTCCTTCCTTCCTTCCTTCCATCTATCCATCATCTCCTTCCTTCCTTCCTTCCTTCCATCTATCCATCATCTCCTTCCTTCCTTCCTTCCTTCCATCTATCCATCATCTCCTTCCTTCCTTCCTTCCTTCCATCTATCCATCATCTCCTTCCTTCCTTCCTTCCTTCCATCTATCCATCATCTCCTTCCTTCCTTCCTTCCTTCCATCTATCCATCATCTCCTTCCTTCCTTCCTTCCTTCCATCTATCCTTCCTTCCTTTTGCCTCTTGACTGAATGCTTACCACTGGATGACAATCTGCAAAGAGTTACAATCTGAGACATTGTTTTAGTTACATTTCTTGGCTTTGTGGCAACTTAAGGACCACAGAGTTTTATTTGACATAAACTTTCATGGACCACTTTTTCAGAAGCAGAGAATATATCCTTTCCCGCTCCGCCGGAGGTCTTCTACTGCATGTATCTTTCCTTCCTCCGACGTCGATGCCTCTCTTGCGACGTCGAGGACGATGTAGATGTATAACGCCTCCGATGTCGACGTCGATGCTTCCGCGGGGGTGAATAGGATGACGAGGAGTCCTCCGAGGAAGATCTATGACGGCGCCGAGAACGTCGATCGGGAGATCGACGTCGATGCTTAGAAATATGCTTCGTCTTGCGCAGCCGTTTCCTCGGGGGCGAAGAATGTCTCGACGCCGACGAAGAGGAGTGAGCCAAGGACGCCTGCCCGGTAGACACAGGGCTGTGCGGCGGAGATACCAAGCTTGCAGTGGCACTAGCAAGCTGGTTCGGCGTCGGGGATAGAACCCGAGGAAGACTCAGTGGCTCAGCCTGTCTAGGAGGTAGCGAGAGCGGTACCTCCGACAGGGACTCCCCATGTGTTGGAAACTCCTCCAGAATCGGGGACGGGAGAGAAACGGAAGCAGAAAGTAACTGCTCCGCTGTCCCGATGTCTTTGACCTGCTTTTTCTTTTGCTGTTTTGCAGGCTTCGCCGATGGAGCCTTTGGCGCAGACGACTTCTTTGCAGCCTTCTTAGGTTTGTCCGTAATCTTACTCTGAGCCTTGGGACAAGGTGGTTGGGCAAGGCTAGAGGAGGTAGAGGGAACAGCCGCCGAGGCAGGAAGCTCCATAGCTGAAGGTTTTGAAGCAGCCAGCGTTGCGTTCCAAAGATGAAATTTCAAACGCTGCTGGCGCGCACGCAGGGCAGGTTTAGTAAAAGCCCTACAGTGCCTACAATCTTGCGGGGAATGTGCCTCCCCCAGGCAAAAAAGGCACTTATCGTGCCTGTCCTGAAAGGGGAGCTTCCGATCGCAGGTGACACAGCGGCTAAACGGACCGGACGGGGACATAAGCCGCGAACAGGGAAAAAGCGGCCGCAAGGAGACCGTTGGTTTAGGCGGGAAACCCACGCGTCTCGCAAAAGAAGGGAAATCCAAAAATGCAAAGTCCGAGAAGCCAGTCCGGGTCAGGATAGGAGATTTAAGGGTGGTCTAGGCAGTCCGAGTCAGAAAAAAACCGAATTTTAGCCAAAAACGCAGTAAACGAACAGGAGCTCTAGTCAAAAGGAACCACTTCGCACGGCGGAGAAATGGAACTGAGGCTGGGTGGGAGGAGCATGCGCAGTATGCCTAATCTACAATGTTGTTTCTTTTAGCTCTAGAACATTCCGAAAGGATCATCGCTGGCGCTGATTTAACCCTTTCGTGTGCATTCACAGAAGACCACGCTGAAGAATATATCCTTTCCCGCTCCGCCGGAGGTCTTCTACTGCAGGAATTTCTAGAGGCAGCCCTGTTAAATCTGTCATCTGTGGCAGCAAAATCAGCAAAGAGTCCTACAATACTTTAAAGACAAACAAGTTTTATTTGTCAAAAGTAGTAGGCTGCACCCTGGGAAAGCTTATGACAAATAAAACTTTTAAAACTCTAAGATGTTGCAAGACTGCTTCATTTTTCCTTGGCTGAAACAGACTATAGACTGGTACAGCTAACCCACTAAACATTTCTGGTCTTCTCACTTTAATCAAGATCAGGCAAGCAGAATGAGGGTGCTGCCTATCAGACTCCATGAAAGAGCCGAGTTCAGCTCTGGAATGAGGCATCTCATCTCATCTTCCTATGGAACTTAAGCTTGCAGACCTTTACGAGGTCTGAACACTTGGGATTCACTGCCCTTCTGTGATCCTGCTCCCCTCACCCTATCCTCCACCCTGCCATTTGGCATTTGGATATCAGCTAATTGAGATATTTAGCTCAATCTGTGTAAATTAGGCGGCGTTATTCTCCTCCTACAAACCTTCTGTTTGTAACAATTCCACACCCCGAGCATTCTTGGAGAGCAAGCAATTTAATTCCTTCGCCTCTGACTTAGGAAGCTGCTGTCCTATTCTCTTCACTTGGGAAGACCAGAAAGCAGCTAAACCACATTCTGTTGAGAGGAGGAGGAGGAAAGAAGAAGAAGCAGGAATAAATCTGCCGAACTTCTCAGTTTCATAATCTTAAATGTCACCACTCCTCTAATTGTATTGTCTAGCCAGAAATTCAAGATTTGCAAAAGAAAAGAAAAATGAAACACACACTGAAACAAACTTCCAATACAAAGTTTTTTTTGTTCTTGACAAACAAAAACCTCACCCTCTGGGCCAGTTACTTCAGGTAAGTGAGTGAATTTCTCATTGCAGTAATTCCCCTCACAACAGCAGAAGAACACTTGTGGACTCTCTTCTGTAGCCACACATTCCTGCCTGTTAGAAGAGGAGAACACAAAAGAAATGATATGAAGTCATGAAATTCATCTATTGCCCAAACAAGAAAAGACACTTGGGTACACGAATTCTCTTTTCCTATTTATTTCCAGCTTCGGCTGTATTTTGACAAGTCCTTAGGACCTTTTGTTACAAGAGGGCTCAGGGACAAAAAAAAATCCTTATGTGAGATTTCAAGAGCCCGTCAAGCGCACAGAAAGTTTGCTGAAGGGCAAATTACAGTGAGTAAAGGTACAGGAATAATATGCCAGCAAACTTGCTTGGGCTTCAAGAACCCTTTGCCCACACACTTTCTTTCACTTATACTTTAAAGAAAGGGAGTTGAGTGGCAAGCAACATTTCATAAACCACATATGAAATCACTGTAAAAAAAAATCTCATGAGCCACAAATCTTGAGCATAAGTGTCAGCTGACCCACATTTTTTCCTCCCTCAGGTGAAAATGAGGTCAGGGGAAGGAGACCCCGGACCCATGGGCCCATATTCCACCTATCCATTGGTTACATTCATATCCTGTTTTTAATTCCAAGGTTGTTGTACATCAGTGGTTCCCAATTTTTTGGGGGGGGGAAGATTGCCCCCAATGTAATTGAGGTTGTCAAACTGCTCCCAAACAGTAGGTGAAAGCTGGCCCCTTCAAGAGCATCACTGAAGATTTTACATAGATCTGTCTCGTCAGATTGGGAAAAAAGCAGAAAGGAGGAATGGGATGAGGGATGGGCATGGAGAGGACTGGAAAGGTGGCTCCAATCAAGGTAGAAATACCTTCCCCACAACTCCAGGTATGCAGCGGAACAGCTGTTTTCTTTAGGACTGAGAAAAAGTAACTCTCTTAAAGCAAGAAAGACCCATGTGAATGAAGAGAGTGAGGAACGATTAAGAGGAATAATAATTATTGCAATGAAAAGAGAGGGAACTCATTTAAAAGATAAATGATGAGCTTAGATAAAGAAGAAAAACCGCATCAAAGACAGAAAACAGAAAGAGAGTAAAAGAAAGGAGCGGGATGATTTGGTAAAGAAAAGCTAGAAAAGGAGGCAGATCACCTGAAATGGATTAAGGTACTGGTTCCCAAACCCAGTAGTATCCTTCTAGAGGGGTTTGGTGATGCTTCAAAGGGGATACAGATTGTGAGCGTTTTATCGTCCTTCACACGAAATTCATTTTGTCAGTGCTATTTCTTTATTTTGTTTTTTTATTAATATTTTTAATGCTATGTGTTCAGGTAAATTACATTTATATTAACTTTTTGTCCAAAGTATTTATACTTATGGTTGTTGTGAGTTTTTCAGGCTCTTTGGCCATGTTCTGAAGGTTGTTCTTCCTAACGTTTCGCCAGTCTCTGTGGCCATGGGCATCTTCAGAGGACAGCACTCTGCGCTCTGGTGTATTTATACTTATTTTTAAAATTGTAAGTAATTTTCCTCTAGGTTTCTGCATTTATTTTTTAATTTAAACACCACTCAATTTAATTTCTTTATTTCTTTTTGTTTGACTATGGAAGATGCATATCAGTGATACATATATGACAAGTAGCTAGGGAAGTGCAAAACTAGGTTTATAAACAATTTCGCATTGCGAAGAAGTGGCAAAGCCTGAGATGTATCCAGATGGCTGGCGATACTGAAAAACAGAAATAACGAAAAGGATTCTGTTAGAAGGTTTAGAATTCAAGCCAGCATAGAAAAGGGAGGGAGGGAGGGAGGGAGAAGTGAAGGAAAAGGTTGGAATAAAACAAGATATGAAGAGATGAGCAAGAGAAAATCAGGAGGCTGACACGTTACAGCCATCCATAAACTGAAAGGATCAAAGGAAGGAATTTGCAAGAACTTTCAAATGAGAGAAATAATGAGAGTAGGGGAAAAGAAGGAACTTCACGTTGGCAAAGAAGTTGAGAAAAGCCATCCCACCACACTGCTGCCCAGATCGTGTGTAAGCGTGGCTGATTTGCTAACGGCAGAACAGCAATTTAGAAGACTGAGCACAGCAAAGAAATGACAAGGAACGTAAACTAAATTAGGAGCATGAAAGGGATTGTGCAGAAGGGCAAGGGCTGGGAGCAACATCATCCGCTAACAGAAATAAAACAGAAATGGGAAATAACTGAATTACAGTAGAGAAGCAAACCTCCTAAAACCTCAACAAATGAAGAGAAACTGCAGAGGAGTTAGAACTAGTCTTCAATCCCAGGAACAGAATAAATCAGTCTTTGGCCTGGATGTTAAGTGGCAGCTAGCAAATCCGTATTTTCTACTTGGACTGGTACTGATGGCATTCATCATATAACCCAGGTTATTTTCTACCTTTTTCTTATTCTCAACACCCTCCTTTTTTCCCCTCCCTTTTTGATGATTACAATAGAATCTGGAGAAGTATTGATTGTATCCATTTCAGAATGCTTGTAAGAGGTAGAAATAATATGCAGGACCTGCCTTTTATTGAGTTAAGCCAATGGGTCCATCTTGCCTAGCATTATTGACACTGAGTGGCAGAAACCCTCCCGGGTTTCACAGGCTGTTCCAACCTGGACAAGCTGGGGATTGAACCGGGGACCTTCTGCATGAAAGTGTGTGCTCTGCCAAGTGAAATGGTGGCCTCTCTCTGTCCTGTTGCTTGTGGTCCAACCTGTTCTTCAACAGATTTAATAGGAAAACGGCCAAGCGCACAGTATCACCTCTGACAAAACCATTCGTAGGAAGATTCTTGTGATTTACCGTTATAGAGTGGTGGTTCTACAGTGGACCCTCTACTTACGGAATTAATCCGTATTGGAACAGTGGCTGCAAGTCGAAAAGTCTGTAGGTCGAATCTCCATTGACCTACAATGCATTGAAAAGGACCTTCTGCATGAAAGTGTGTGCTCTGCCAAGTGAAATGGTGGCCTCTCTCTGTTCTGTCGCTTGTGGTCCAACCTGTTCTTCAACAGATTTAATAGGAAAACGGCCAAGCGCACAGTATCACCTCTGACAAAACCATTCGTAGGAAGATTCTTGTGATGCTACCGTTATACAGTGGCGGTTCTATAGTCATTTATCTTGGAAAGAAAAAGTCGATTCTCCGGCTGCAAGTCGAATCTAAATTTTGCAGCCAGAGAAGTCTGTAACTCGAAAAGTCTGTAAGTCGAGCCGTCTGTAAGTCGAGGGTCCACTGTATACTCATTTATCTTGGACAGAAAGCCCAACTCAGTAGGACTTCTGAGAATATGTTGTGCCAGAGGGGGTAAAATGGGGTGCAAGACAAAATAACAAGAAGTGTGGGAACTGCTGTGTATTGTTTGTACCATAAAGCTGCTACAATCATTATTTCTGCACATCCTAACTAGAAAAGTTATGATGAATAGTTTTTCCGTGTGTTTGGTTATAGGGAAGGTAGTTGCTTAAATAATATTCCATCAGTTTTCTCATCAGCGGCCAAAAACAACAACAGCACCACAAAAACATGTACTTGAGGTAGAAAACAAGAGAAAAAAAGTATGAAAGAGGTTAAAACAAATAAAAGCACTGGTATAAAAGTAGAAAAAAAGCTGTTTGCACACCTTCACTCTGAAAACTCAAACCGCTCTACAGTAAGGGAAGAGGTATAATTTTAGGAGAATAGGAAGATGCATTATATATCTCTACATATAGATCATTACTGTGAGCTCTGACTAGCAGTGGCTTTCCAAAGTTTCCTGCAGGACTCTTTCTTCGACCTAACTGAGGTTCCTTGATATTCCTTGTTGGTCTCTCATCCAAGTCAGGTCTGCCCCTGCTTAGCTTCCAACAGATGATCAGGTGTGTCCCGTGTGGTCAAATGCTCTAAAAAGCAATTTCAGGATTAAGCAGGAGCTTCCTGGTTGAAACCCCTAATTCCAGAGATGAGAAAAGTTATTCTGGGAGTTGGGAGTTCGACCTAACTGAGGTTCCTTGATATTCCTTGTTGGTCTCTCATCCAAGTCAGGTCTGCCCCTGCTTAGCTTCCAACAGATGATCAGGTGTGTCCCGTGTGGTCAAATGCTCTAAAAAGCAATTTCAGGATTAAGCAGGAGCTTCCTGGTTGAAACCCCTAATTCCAGAGATGAGAAAAGTTATTCCGGGAGTTGGGAGTCCCCCCCAAAAAAGAAGGAAAAAAAGCAACTTTTGCAATTTCTGCTGTTAAGAGACAATAAAAGTTCAGATCTATACCTGGAAATGTACCTGGAATTTCCTTCACATGAACAAAAGTTCCTTAGTGGACAAAACCTGATGGCATACATGTGGGAATAGATTAAGGGGGAAACTGTGCACTCGAGGCTTCTAAATACCTCACCTGTCGTAGCAGTTGAAGTCATCCAGCCAGCAGCCTTTTTTCACTAGCTCGATGGAGCCAGAGTTGTTCCTCCAGGAGGCGTAGCAATGGAGGCGCTTGTCCTTCTCTCCTTCGCAACGCTCCACTCCGCTCTGATTCGTCTTTTCCAACTCCCAGTTAGCATTGTAATAGATGCATTCTCTCGTCTCTGCTTCCCCATGGCCTGGCCCTGGAGAAATATTCAAAATAAAAAGCTATTAATGACCAAAATGGGAGCAGCCAAGATAGACATTTCTCTACAGGCTCAACCTAGCCATTTCCATGAAACAGGAAGGATATTGGCCACCCATTGTCTGCAAGATGGATTCCATACCCCCAGAAGCAAACTCTTCTCACATGAGATAGCCTGCGCCTGTCTTTTACAAAGCAATAACCAGAATCCAATTGCTATTTACCCTGGTTGAAACCGATAGCTCAGTGGTTTAGGTCTGTGGCTCCAGAGCCAGAGGTTGGGAGTTCGATTCCCCACTGTGCCTTCTTGACAGGCTGGATGCGATGATCCATAGGGTCCCTATCAGCTCTACAGCTCTAAGATTTGTTGTTGTTGTTGTTGTTGTTGTTGTTGTTGTTGTTGTTGTTGTTGTTGTTGTTGTTGTTGTTTAAGGTTTGTATGTCTTGCCATTGCAAATTATGGCTAACTAACAAGGTGACATGGCATACAGTGGGGTCTTGACTTAAGAACGACTTGAGTTAAGAACATTTTGACTTAAGAACCGCTCTCATAGGAAAATATTGACCTGACTTAAGTACTTAGATTTGAGTTAAGAACTGAAAAAAACCCACGTGGGAGGCAGGGAAAGTGCAAAAAGTGAACTTTCAGTTAACTGTTGGCCAGTGAAAAGGGTGCCTGTCTGCTTCCTCACTCCTCCCAGCGTTTAGAGAGTGGATTGGGAGTCTTCAGACTGCCTGGTACTGCCTGGACTGTATTTTCCCTGCCTTCCCTGAACCTTTCTTGACCTGAGAAAAAAAGAAACAAAATATCCCCCTCTACAGCATTAAGATATGTTGTTGTTGTTGTTGTTGTTGTTGTTGTTGTTGTTGTTGTTGTTGTTGTTGTTGTTGTTGTTGTTGTTGTTGTTGTTGTTGTTAAGGTTTGTATGTCTTGCCACTGCAAATTATGGCTAACAAGGCGACATGGCATATCTTGGTTGCCACACCTAGTCTTGTATCTGAATACACAAGTGAGATGCACAACAGCATCTCATCCAGTATTTAAAAGCTAAAGACAGCAAGTATACAAATATTTAAAAAGGAATTATACAAGCATAATACAAATATTTTAAAAAGAATTATACAAGCATGATATTAAAACGGTAACTAAGATCAATATTAAAACAGTTTTAAAAGGAACAGAGTACAACCATCCATGTAGATGGGTCTCAGACCCCCCCATCATTTTTGCTTGCCTGAAGGACAGCAACGATGGGACCAGCCTAGCTTAGAAAATGCTACATGAAACAGGGATCCTCTTGAATAACCCTGTTTTATTAAAAGGACAACCTGAAATTACTGTTCTGTTTATGTTTACACTGAGAAACTCCCACAGTTTTACTGTGACATTATAAATAATTGTAACTGTCAAGCTAATTGTGTCTTACAATGACCTTTTCCAGGGTTTCCTAGCTAACAAACAGGCTTCAGCTTAGCAGTCCTTTCTTCTGAGTATACTCTGGAACTGTGCAGCTTGCCCAAGGCTACACAGACTGGCTTCTCTCCTGCAAGGGACGGTGGAGAATCAAACTCCCAATCCTCGAGCTATCCAATAAGCTATCCAGCCAACGTTATTATTTGCATTAGAAGATCAGCCTAAACAGAGGAGGAATTGGAAGCTTCTTCAATACCACAGCAATATGCTTTAATTGGCGTCTATCCTCTGAATGGTCCTGCAAAGTGGTAATTCCATTGGGCATATTTTTTTAATAGTATGGACGGAGTCTCAGGAAAAACCATAGACTTGTTTACAGTAGAATCTTCCTAGAGTTAGCAAAGGTCAACAAATGGACACAACCCTTTTCTAGCATCATGTGAGCAACTGGACAGCTTCTGAGCTTGGACCTACTATATACCTTCTTGTAGAAGCTTGGAAACTTTCCAGCAGCTCACACAATCAACTTTCATATACGTGGGTGGAATAAAACTGGATTCTGCCCGATACCACTCTGAAAGGGACTGGGAGAACAATAAGTTGGCGATCCTTCTTGTGCATAGACCCCCAATCCTTTGTATTTTACAATGCAAAATAAAGATATTTGTTCACGTCTTTAATACATCAATTCCCTAGCCAAGATCACTGTCCATGGCTCGTCTCTACCTACCCATGCTTTCATTAAACTCCTCTTTTGTCCACTACTACAAGCCAGGCTGGAGTGATAGATTACCTGCATGGCATGCTCAACCGCAACTCAGAAAACTTTCACTGCCTCTCTACTAGTAGCTTCTTTAACATGGACCTCAAAGGCAGAAGTGGTATTTGTTCCTTTGTTGAAATGTACAGCAGAAACACATAATTGCTATGTAACACTATCATGGCTCAGTTCAAATCCCTGTTCACAGTGTGAAAAACAGGAGACCATACGCTATGCCACGGGTGGGCAATTAATTTCTATGGGGGGGGCACATGAAAAATCTGAACTGTGTTCGGGGGCCGAACCAACTTTACTTAAAAATAAAATGAAACAGTGATGTTATGATTGTTTTGAGTCTCTACATGATTCTCTCTTGTTAATCTTCACAAATACTAAAGAGGTTTTTTTTGCAGTATGTTAAAGATAAGCAACTGATCAACTTTAGACAAAAAGCTATAAATGGTTTTGATGTTCAAAACTGTCCGCAGGCCGGACATGAGCAGCTCGCGGGGGCCGTATGTGGCTCTCGGGCTGCACTTTGCCCAGGTCTGCGCTATGCCAATCCTGCCCACAAACCACCGCCTTCCAAATGTGTTGTACTACAACTCCCATTCGAGTAAACCTGAATAAATATCAGGAAATCATATAAGAATTTGAGTCTCTACATGATTCTCCGTATCTCTTGAAGTTTCTATTGAGTGAAGGTTCTTCTGCTATATTTCGGCAACAAAAGGATAAATCTCATCCCTTTTTCCCAGTGTGAATATAAACACACACGCAGACACACACGAGAACAGGCCATTTCATCACTGGAACACAAACAATCCATTCAATAGTATGACTATTTGGTGAACATTATAACTCTTTTCAACAATGTTCATTTTACAGAAATACAAAAAAACACCCCACAGTTCATGAAAATGCACAATTTTCTTTGACACCAATTTTTTTAAAAACATAACAAAACAAGTCAGCAAAACAGGTCCCCGGAACAGGATTCCCATTTCCAGTCCCTCGCTCTCATATGACTGTGAAAAACTCATCTACTTGTACATACAGCCTGACAAACTTGCCCATTCGAAAGCCCTATGCAGAACCCTAAAGAGATTTATGAGGGGAAGATGTTTCAAATCTGCTCCAAAATGCGCTAAGTCTACCATGATTGGCCCCAAAGAGCTTTCCTATTGATCCTTCTTGACATTTTCAAATACCACAATTCCAAATTCAATTTGTGGGGGGTTGAGGTTGGAGAGACAAGCAATGCCCGTAAGCAGAGGAAACGATTCTAATGTCAAGAGGTTCATACACCAAGCAAATTACGACACACACACACGCACACAAACTAAAGTGTGTTTGTTTTCTCTACTTGGCGCCTTCTTCCACCTGAATAATCACATCTTAAAAGCTGGCCGTCTTCTTGGCAGGATGAAGCAGAGAAGGGAAATAAAACTGGACAACACGGCTCTGGACTGCCAAGACAGATTGTGTGAAGCATTGTTATGAAGTCTTCCATACATCAAGATCCAAGCACGGTGGAAATATTCCAGAGACACAATGGAAGAAGGCTGCTCTATTACAAGCAGTGGCATATCTTGGCAAAGACTTTTATAACTATATAAATGAGTGAAAGGAGGAAGGAGTTTTTCCTGAGATTAAAACGGTTACCAGCTGTGGAAAATTATGTGGCGGCAACCAATTCCCTAGACTACAGCTTGGAATAATAAATTACAAGTCAGGTAGTTACCCATTCATTTTGTTATCAAGGGGATAACATAGTCACAATTCAGAAGTAATAAGAACATTACTTTATTGTTGCAATGAGTAACGCTTTCGAGTTACCAAATGACCAGGACTTTTTAAATAGGCGGGGTATAAAGGGAATAAATGGAATAAACAAACAAATAAATAAATAAATAAATAAATAAATGACCAGGACTTTTTTTCAAAAGTTTTGTGCCATCCTCTTATTAATCATAAGGCCTCTGCAAAAGTAGTAAAAAGTAACTGAAAAGGAATGAACTCTGCAGCAACTAATACACCAAATTACTAAACTATCACTATAAAAGTAACAAGAATAAACTGTCATATTCTAACATGTAATGGGAACTATTTCCTTCTTAAATAAATGACCAGGACTTTTTTTCAAAAGTTTTGTGCCATCCTCTTATTAATCATAAGGCCTCTGCAAAAGTAGTAAAAAGTAACTGAAAAGGAATGAACTCTGCAGCAACTAATACACCAAATTACTAAACTATCACTATAAAAGTAACAAGAATAAACTGTCATATTCTAACATGTAATGGGAACTATTTCCTTCTTTTATTTATTTTTTACTTCCAAACTTTAAAAGTAACAAGAATAAACTGTCATATTCTAACATATAATGGGAAGTGTTTCCTTTATTTATTTATTTTTTACATTTTTTCCAAACTTTGCTCTGGGCATTTGCTTCCTGATAGCTACAGTATGTTTATCATCAAGTTCTGTCAAATCAATTCTGACTTTTATGGCAACACTTTTTCAGGGTATTCCAGATAGATACGTGGTTGACCATTCCCTCCTCCTGGGGGTACCCTTAAGCTGTGCAGCCTCCCCAAGGCCACATAGACTGGCTCTACTCATAGGAGGTGGGAAATCAAACTCTACGGTTGACCATTCCCTCCTCCTGGGGGTACCATTAAGCTGTACAGCCTCCCCAAGGCCACATAGGCTGGCTCTACTCATAGGAGGTGGGAAACCAAACTCTACAGCCATATATACCTAAACCACTGAGCTATCTATCTAACACAGCCTCCCCAAGGCCACATAGACTGGCTCTACTCAT